ACAAGACTGCAAGAGGGAATCTGGGGAAATTGATGATGTTTAAGAACAATATGATTGTTTTGTAAGAAAAATGCTGAAAAATGCATTTCCAATGTAAAGGCATTAGAAGATACAGGAAAGTCCAAAGAAGATATTTAAAGATGCCCTGAAGCCCCCAGCCAGCACTGAGCACTGTTCTCACCTGGTGCTCCTCCACCTCTGACTGGTGGTCACAGTTCTGAGGTCAGGTGCACCCGCAAGCTGACCTGCAAAAGCAAGTAGTGCTGCCCTGCCAGGACCAAGGAGTTAAGGGTGAATGCTGGAAACTGTGCCACTCAGGACCTTTCTGGGCGTGAGCATTCCTGACTGATTTTTTTTAGCTGAATAAGCTTGTATTTTAAGTGCTGTTTTATCGTCTCCTTCTTGCATTTAATAATGTATTATGTTCATCTGTACTTGTCAATAAACATTGACTTGATAGTGTGGCTGCCTGCATAGTGTGCTGTAATATTATTATTTATTTAGTCAAGTCCTGATGGGTACACATTTAGGTGATAAATCTTTACTGTTAAAGCGATATAGAGATAAACATTCCTGGGCTGGCATCCTTTTCAACTTGCGGGACTGCTGAGGCCAAGGAAACAACTGTGGCAGAGTTTGTCAGACTCTTCTGGAAGGCCAGCCTGTTTCCGCCCTCAGCTGTCAGTGGTAACTTTTGCGGGGTCCTTTCTTCGGCCTGGGAAAATGTAGTCCTTAGGCCTTGCTGCTGGCTAGTGTCGATCTCGCCCTGCATGGGGCTTTTACAGCCAGGCGCAGTCACCCCCAGGGGGCAATCGATTGTTTCCCGCTGAAGATGGAAGGACTTCCCACCCCACGATGGTGGGATCCACACTAGTGTATGTGTGTGTTGGGGGGCTGCCCAGCATGGTGCCCCTCAGCTTTTTGTGGTAAAAGAAAGATGTCCCCAGGGACCTTTGGGGTTGGGGGCCGGAGAGGTGGGGCAGGCTGGGCAGGTGCTTTGAGTTTTGGTCTACAAGTTGGGTGAGTATTGTAAAAACTTCCTTCCAGTTCTGAGATTTTTATGATGTATGTTCTCACCTTTGCATAGTCCCCCTCCCTGTGGCTTAAATGTTCCTAGAACCTTCTGTCACCTGCGGAATCTTTGGGTGTGGTTTCCATTCTAAACCTGGAACCTGTCCTGGGTGGCCAGGTGCAAACAGCTCCCCCTGCAGAGCCACTGCTCTGTACTGCTCTGACCAAGGGCCTCTCCATCCTTTGTCAAGTGCCACTGGACTCGTCACTGGGTGCAAGTAGGAGATTTTGATAAGAAACGGGATGTAAATGAGCCCAGTGAGGCCCAGGTGTGGTTACTAACTTGGTGTGGCCTCTGGGTCAGAGTATCCCATATTGGAGGGCAAATAGAGCTTTCCAACCCTGAGGACCTGTGAGGTGGTGCTGGGGGAAGGCCCTGATCAGATCCTGGGTTTGGGGCACTGCTGGCATTGCTTCTAGTAGTTTCCAAGCCTTGATGCTCTTATCTGGGGGGAAGTGGAGATGATGAGGTAATGGATCTTGGCTAAGTGAGTAGCTGCAGGAGTCCCTGTGAAGAGTCAGCACATTCCCGGTGCCATTTGGTGACGGACTCACTCTTCTTCCTGCCCCACAAGGCTCTTGCTGTGGTGATGGGGGAAGTCTGAGCTTCCCAGACTTTTCTCTGGCCTCTCACAGGGGACCGGTGAGGCTGACTAAATGAACCAGAGAGAGGGTGAGGTCTGGCCTCCAAACAGTATGGCAGGGGAGTGGCTCTGGTAGGTGAGGGGACTGCCTCCAGGCCAGGTCAGGTGGTCAGGTGTCTGGTTGGTGCCCATAGTTAGGGAAGGAGCTGGGGCCACCCTGGCTGTGGATGCTTCTAGGGCCTGAGACAGAGAGACTTACACCCAAGGGCCCCTGTGTGTCCCCTCCCTGCCCTTCCCTGGACTGCGCATCAGCTTCCTGACCCAGAGCTTTGGGTAACCAGGTGAAAGACGTGGAGGGGTGGACAGAGCTAGGTGGGGCGGGCCCAGCCAGCCCTGAGGGAAGTGGCTTTGGCTGCTGACAAAGCCAAACAAGGATAAGCATCTTGCTTTTCCTGGTCATCCCATGGCCAGCCGGGTTTGATTTCCTTTTCTGCTCTTCTGGGAGGCACTTTCACTCTGGGGATGCCCACTGCCCCACACCTGGTGGTCGGGCTGGCATGAGTATTATTGGAGTCCCAGTGCAGGGGAGAACACACAGAGGTAGAGGTGGAAGCGGAGGGCCACGTCCTGGTGGAAGTGGGGGGCCAGGGCCACAGAGGCTCTGAGGACTCACTGGGTTGACAATTGTACAGCACTGAGAGCCCTGCCTGCATCTGGCTGAGGACTCCCCTCCTGGCCTCTGCAGCCTAGTACCCACCCAGATGGCCACAGTGTGGCGGTGTCCATGCTTGGCCTTCCATAGCACTTGTAGACCTGGCTTGCTGTGTCTGGCATGCAGAGGCTTAGATGTCCTTGGCAGGGATATGACTGAGCAGCACAGAGTGGTACTGAGTGTGGAGCCCAGAGAGAAGCCATGACAGTGGGAGTGGCCCCATTCTGACTCTGTGACTGCTAGGAGCATAAGGAAGTGCCCTTGCAGGAAATAGCACCTACACCGCCCCCTGCGTCTGTCTGGACCACGTCCTTCTGTGTGGTTACAGGGAAAGCAGAAGTGCCCAGGAGCAGCCGTGCTACTGGTAGGCCTGCAGGGAAGGGAAGGGCCCATACCCAGGAACAGAGACCCAGGACAAGGACCAGGCTGTGTTTGAGGTCAGCCCACTGGGTACTCCATGTCCACATAGGACAGCAGCCTACCCCAGGGACCTGACGGCTCTACCTGCCAGACCATCCACAGGTAATCATTCGTCCTGAGCAGTACTTGCCCCATATCCCTTGGCATAGGAAAGGCAGGAGCCATACTTGGCGGTGGGGTTAACTGAGACCTACTGGATATGAAAGGTTCGTACCTGCATTTCTTGGGGCACCTTGTGCTCATAGGAAGTCCTGGGTACCTCTCTCGAGTGGCAGGTTGGTATTGAGAAGGAGGGCTGAGAGAGGAGTGGTTTATTTATGTTTCTGTGTTGGACCTGCTGGCACTCGGCAGAGAGAGGGTGCCAGGAGCTGGAGGAGCAAGTTGCGCAGTGGGGTGGCCTAGGCCCCCACCTGGCCTGTTAGCACAGCCAGCTGGCGATGCTCCAGGTCCAGTTCTGCAGAAAACGAGGCCTCTAAGCAATGTCGCCTTCACAGAATGGGACAGTTTGATATGGGTACACACATGCCCATTTTTTTATCATCTCGTTAAGTCTGATGGCCAGAAAACAGATTAGTAAAGGAAAATTATCTACATTTTTTTGGCCTTTAAAAATGTACATGTTCTACCCAAAGGGTCCTAAAATGTAAGAAAATGCAGCCCTTTCCTTTGGCATGGTTCCAGCACCCACATTTGGGATCCCTTGTATTCTGTCCCTGTGTCCTTTCCCCACGTCCCACAGTATGCACAAAGTGGCATGTGTGTACCTGAGGCCCATCCCTGGCGGGGCACCTGGGGTGACCATGACCCATCCAGAGTAAAGCAGTATTGCCTCTGTGCTGTATTGAGCAGGAGCCAAGTTGTTCTGGGCCAACATGAGTCCACAGGGACAGGTGGCAGGGCCCTAGTGGGGGCGAGGCGGGTGACGTAGCTTCTCATGGTGTAAGTATGTTCTAGAACCTCTTTTAGATTTTTCTAATTGATTTTGGTTCCTGCGAATAGTGAGATTTGGCACTCCTGGCCGAAACTGAGACCACTCTACCTGGGCTCCTAACCTCCCCAGCAGTGGACCCTAGAATGGGGAGTGCCTCTTCAGGGCGGGCCAGAGACAGAACGAGGGCCTGTTAAGCCTTCAGCGGGAGAAAGATGACCAGGTGACGGTAATGCACCAACCAGTCACTTTTCCATATTTTACACATTGTGAATTACCTGGAAGGTAACACAGGGCTCAGAAAGGGGACACCCCACCTCCTGTGGAATGGCAGGACAGGGCTTCCGTGAGACTCTGGGATCATTAGGCTTGGCTCCAGGAGCAGGTTACAGGTTAATAGTACTGGGGTCCAGCTAGCAGAGGCTTGTGGAATGTGGGCGGACTCTTTTCCATGCAGAGGCTGCAGAGCGAATTCCTGGAATCTGGGTGCTTGGTGACTTCAGGTGGCTCACTATGACCTGGGCTTCCTTTGCTCTGGGGAGTGCAGCAGAAGCTACTCCCAGGCACCTTTCTGCATATAGATGGTTGGACTGTAAGTATCTTAGCAGCAGAGGCAGTTCTGGTGCTTCCCAGGTTAGGAAAAGCCAGCCTTTTTCCAGGCCTCAGGTGGGGCCGGCAGAGTGTGCTTCTTCCTCCTCCCAGCTCGGGACGTGGCTGATGCTCAGTCCTGTTCTGAGTGCTCTTGGGAAGCCAGCCCACCCTCCCACCGTGGCCACTCGGTCCTCTGTTGATGGGCATGGGCTGGCGTGGTTCGAACATAGTTCATAGGCAGCAGAGTCTTGGCTGCGAGCTGCGCAGCCGACACTGCGGGCCGAACTGGTGTTCCTGGAGGTCACAGCAAATGGTGCAGACACTGGTGAATCAGAATAAAAGTCTTGTGTGTGTAGTGTGTGCACAAGATAGTCAACAGTCAGAAGTCTAAAACCATACCGAGGTGGGAACTGGTGGCCTGAGCTGGTGAATGTTCTTTTTGTCCTGCCAGGAGGAGAGGTGACCTGGGGCCTTTGTGGCACTTTTGCTAGATTTTCTGATGGCCACGTCCTGGGAGGGAATCCAGGGTAAAAGGAGAGGCCTCGTGTTGGCTCAGGCTGTGCTGACCCAAGTTGGATGATGGCCTGTGGTCAAGTGGGCCTGACTCTGTAACTCTGCTGTATAGTTTCTACTAATTACTAAAGACAAAGGCAAAGAGAATGGTATTTTGTGGTTTTGAGACTTAAAAAAAGAAATCCTCTCTCGGGCCTGGACCTGTTGAAGCTCCTAGGCCCATCCCTCCCACCACAGCAGAGAAGAGACCTCTCATCCCTCTGCAGCTGGGCTGGGTCTGGTGGCCACGCACCAGGCAGGAGGAGTCTGGCCCCCTGGCAAAACCACATGCTCTCTCCCCATGCCCAGCCGTGAGCACCTGGGTCACAGGCAACCCAGAGTGCAGTCCTGAGCCAGCTCTGGATTCCGGATGGTTCAGGCAGCTTCTGTGATGCCTTCACTGCCTAGCAAATGGCAGCGAAGGAGCCGCCATCTCTGAAGCACCTGCTATGGGGCTAGGACACCCCTCGTCTCTGCCTTGAGTTCCTGGAGAAGGAATGGTGGGAGATGCTGCTCCTGGCATCAGGAGCATTGGCTGGAAGCACAGCTCTCAGAGACAGAACTTCACAGAGAGCAATTTCTAGTCCTGCTCATTGTGACGTGCCCTATCTCCAGTGCCACAGACCGCTCCAGAGCCGGGATTGTCAGGGATGTGCTGACAAGTCCTAGGGTGATTGTAAGACCCAGGAGGGGAAGTCCCAACTCTGACTGTGGCTCTAGACTGGTGGCTGCATTCTGTGACTCTTGTTTCTCCTTGACAGCAGGCCCTAAGTCTGTCTCACCAGGGCTCTGAAGGATCCAGGAGTGTCTAAGAAAACCTGCTTCCCCTCCCCAACTCGTTTTTGTTAGGGTGCAGCCTGTGTGGCTGTGAGATTCTGGTTGGACCTTTCTGTCCATGCACTGGGAAGTGTCCCACCTGTATCACAAGGGCAGCACCATTTTGTGTGACTGTGTTAACATTTTATTTAAGTCCACTTCTGTAGCACATGCGTGTGCTTTGCAAGTCCTCATTTGTGCAGCTTCATCCCCAGAGGTAAGCTGCATTGTATCCTTCCCTTGGGGGAGTTGGAGAAGCTGAGGGAGTAGCTAGAGAGGTAGAGTAGCTGCGGGGGGCGGGGTGGAGGGTTAGTGACCTGTTCTAGGTCGCACAGCTGGGAAGGGGTCACACCAGACCTGAATGAGGGCAGGCTGGTCTCGGAGCCCACACCTGGCCAGCACACTTTGCTGCCTCCCCTGTTAGGGGGGAGAGTAAATATAAACTGAATTAATAAAGCATCTAATTCAGCAGTCCTCAACCTTTTATGGCACCAAGAGACCAGTGCTCCTATGAGAGAATCTAATGCCTGATGATCGGAGGTGGAGCTGAGGCAGTAATGCTGGGGAGCGGCTGCCAATACAGATGAAGCTTTGCTCACCTGCTGCTCACCTCCTGCTGTGTGGCCCAGTTCCTAACAGGCTGTGAACTGGTTCTGATCCCCGACCCAGGGGTACCTCTGATCTAATTGACCTAAAAGAAGTATGGAAAGTATTTGTGCCACATGACTTGATTGTGTTTTATAGCAGACAACATTTTTATGCCTTTTCAAAAATAGCTCAACTAACTGGAAAAACTTAGAAGAAGGTTGAATGAACATAAGTCACAGAAATTGAGTAGGATATATCCCAGTAGAAGGACGCAAACCTGTCATTATAATGAGTCTAAGTCCCGAGTCAGTTTCCTACTCCCCAAGGTATGAAAGGATAACCTTATGACCATCTCACAGTATCCTCTGTGTGTCACCCAGGCCTCTACAAATAGGCTTTGCATTCTAGATAGAAAAGCTTTTTGGTCAAATTTTGCTGGTGGTTAAAATCAGTCTTTAAAAATGAATTTTAAGTGGAAAATTGTAGTGATCTGAATTCTAACATTATCAAATTTCATTGGAACATCACACAGCCATGAAATGATGCTTGAGAGTACCAGACGCACACAAAGAGAGTTTCAGGGAGCTCAGCACAATCCACACTTGGGTCCCACCCTCCCCTCCTGCCAACCCACGAGTCACAGGAGCTTGCTTCCTACTTGGACTTCCAGGTCTTTGTTTCTGCTGCAGTGTGGCTACAAGCCTGCCTATCCCACCCCACCCAGGGGCACTGTGGAGTCATCGCAGCCTACCCTCCCCAGGCCCTGCGCACTCACATATTTCAACCCCAGCATGTGTGGCTCACCCTCCAGAAGTGGTCATGAACGAACACTCTTCCTCTGTTTCAGTTATTTAGAAGGAAGAGGACGAACACAATGTCAGAATGACTGGAAGTGATGTTAAGTCTGTCTGCTGTTCTTAAAAACTTCCATTTTGATGAATCTGTTTAGTAAACTTCAAAAAGGGAATCATTATTACTAATAATAAAATTATTATAGCTTTTTTTGAAATTTTCAGAAATGTGTTCTTCTCTGGCATTTTCTGTATTTTCTAATTTTTTAAAATTTAATCTGTCTTTTACTATCTGGTTTAAAAATAATTAGGAAACCATATGCTTAAGTTAAGAATTCAAATGTGCTAAAAAATACAAATGTTAAAGAATGAAATACATTCCTATTCCAGACCAAAGCCACACACTAGTTGTTTACTGCCAGCAGGTCTTTGATTAAATTCTGATCTAATCAGATAGTCATTTTTTAAAATTAAATTCTATATACACATACAGATGGTCATGGATCATGTGCCTGCACAAATGGGAACATACTCTAACACTGTTGAGAACCTTAATTTTTAATGAACTAAGTATCTTGGAGATCCTTTCATCTCAGTGGCTGCTTTGTTCCTTTTAACAGCTGCATCGTATTCCAGCCTAAGGATGTGCCACGATTCAAATATAAATAAGTATACATTTATGCACACATACATACACACACACAAACACAGGTGGACTTCTAGGTGTTGCTGGTTGAATAGCCTCATGCTTGGTCATCTTGTGCATGTGGGAGTGAACTTGGGACCCTGGCAGAGAACTTGGATCAGAAGTTCTTGCAGGTGTTGCCAAGTGGCTC